GATAAACAAGATCAGTTTAATTAATATGTTCAAAAATTGGGTGTGGGTGGGGGTGGGGGGTGTGGGTGTGGGTTGGGTGGGTGTGGGTGTGGGTGGGTGTGGGTGTCGGTGTAAGTTTGCCGGCGTGGCTGATCATCAAGTAATAAACAACATTGACACCGGCAGGCACGCGCATACTCCACAGGTACACCCACACCCATAAATAAGGCCTTTTCTGCTCGCCGCTAAAGAGTATATCGTAACCTTTCTGTCATCTACTATTACTAGGCTGCCGAATGCGACCGATTGCGTTCCTTCAAGGTTGTGGAACAAATAGCTGGCATACGCTTGGAGAACAAACCACTGTTCTCGAAAGATTTGAAACGGATCAATAAGATCCTGTCTAATACAGTTGTAGTCAATTCATAAATCATTCGACTGTCGACATAGAGTCATGTTTTCTCTGCATAATCACGAGAGAACATTTTCAACTGCCTGATAGCTTTTATAATGAATCCTACAGGTGTAAGGTTATTGACTATGCTGATTGCGCATATGTGCACTATAAACGCTCTTAAGGCTTCTTTTTAGAGCCCTGGGCATTTACTGCAATTTTAGCGTATGGTCGAATTTATACCAGCCAATCGAATGAGAGTATTTCGAGATGAAATCGTCCTCAAGAACAGGGACACTGGTGAGCAAAATATCCTCAAAATTTCAACTGGAAAACTTTTTCTTCCCGAGATCTTATAAACCGAAAACTAAATAATATCTCACACGAAACCTAGAATGTTTTCCTTTTTCTGGATTTTAAGGTGAAAGAAAGGTAAGATTCTTGTAGCTGAAATTTTCAAGATATTTTGGTCACATGTGGGCTCATTCGTAGGCAAAATCTCAGGCCGAAATATTGTCATTCGATTTTTTGGTATATAACGCACCATCGGCTAAAATTGTAGTGATATACTCATAACTCTGAAGAGAAGGTTTAACAGCGTTTTTCATGTTCACATTCGAAATCGGCACAGTCGATAGTCTAAAACCCAGTAGGTTTTATCTAAAAAGCGACTGAACAGTTCAAAATATTCCTTTGTCAGATCTTTGCGAGGATATAGGTTCTGAAAGGATCTGCCTCCCGGAAGACTCGTTTTTGATGCAACAAAGAGGAGTAGATCGAGTGACCAAATACATACAGGCGGACAGAAAATCATTCTAGCAATAAAATATATAACATCTTTCCACGTTTAGAACACTCACCTTCGTCTCTTCACTTTGCAGAAGATTGCGATCGCCGTCAAATGAAAAACAAAAGTGACTGGCGGGTTATTTGCGCTGGATAAAACATGATTATTTTTTTCTCTTTCTCACTATTTATATGAGAAATAAATTCGATTTTTCCAACAAAACCAGAGCTCATCGACATTTAAATGGATTCTTAGTTTTCAGTCAATATTCGGATGGGTGAAATTATAAAGGCTTCATGCAACAACAAAGCAACATTCAGTTTGTAGGAATTTTTAATTAACAAAGCATATTAAAGTGTCTTATTCAGCACTATTGAATTTTTTGCGCGCAACTCACTGTAAGCCTAGTGTGGGGTGAGTGTCTGCATGTGTGTGTGCAGAAAGAAACCGAACACTCATACCCATAGTCACAGACATTAGCACAAACATGCACACCCACACCCACACCCAGCCACCCACGCCCACACCCACCCACACCCACACCCACACCCTCAATTTTTTCGTTTTTTAAGAATTTTTCGATTTTGCAGCTAAACTTGTGACTCATGTATCTCTCCAAAGGAACATTCGTCTAAGCTGGTTTTTTTACCATAACCGTAACTCATCGAGTTCTACAAGATAGGGGCACATTCGATCAATTTAAAGATAGTTGTGTTGTTTTGGGGAGAAACATCATGGAATAGGCCTAGTATGGTTTTTTAATATGTAATCTATTGTGTTTTTTGCGCTTAAAAACTAGAAGCTACATCTCATGTATTGAAAACCTTGTTGACGTTCTCTATAAACAAGAAAAGAGCAACAAACGGTAAAAATAGCTTGACGCGGCCATCTTTGATATAGGAATAGTCACTAGTGTTTATTTTAATATTGAAATATGCTCATATCTCTTTCCAAGAGAAAATAGAAAATGATGTCTATCATTAATTATGTAAATAAACAATTTCTTCTGTTTACAACATTTTTAGTTAAACCCATTGTTTGTTGAGTTCGAAACGTGCTATCAAGTTTTCAATTACAAAAATATTTGAGATCTTTTTATAGAAAAAAGATTAGATTGATCGCTACGTATTACTTTTTTGTTAACCAACTTTTCTTTAGCTCTTCTATGGATTGTATTTTTTTAGTACATTAGATTGTGTTATGACTTACAAAGATTCTTTGTTGTCCAACAAAATATCAATGAGTCAATCGGTCAAATGCCTCGTTTATACTTTACTTTCTTTTTCCTCTCTAAAATATATGAATTCAAAATATATTAATCACCTTTTTTACTTATTTTATTTCGATAATAAGAGAACAATCATAGTGTTTTTATATTCGGAAAATAGGCTTTCAAATGTTCAGAATTATAAAATTTCCCAAGAATATGTATATCACTCAATTTAGAACAATTGATTCGCATTTCACTTCGTGTGAAATTATGTGTTGCTTGTCGTAGAAGAGGATAATTGACAGAAAATGAGATGTTGTTCGATATAATAATTAACGATTGAGAAATCTTGATTGTCATCCTTTGATTTTTGACACTGTTTATATTTTTGAGCTGTCCAATTATTTACAGATAATATTTTAAGATATGGAAAAGCTGAAGCAATTCGAATGAAAAATTTATGTTCAAATGGACGTTCATCAAATAATGATATTTCACGAACATATTTAAACAATCCATCTGGAAAATTATTTGTTATGTTTCTGTAATATGTCATTGTATATGGATATGAATACATATGACAGTGACCTTTTTTGTTTTTTGGAAAATAATCAATGCAAGTAATAATTGGTTTATTTATGAAATTTATAAATGTTTGCTGAATTTGTTCTTTTAGTGGTAAACAAGATTCATAAAGAGCATATATAACTGATCGAATATTAAATACAAATTTGTTTAATCGTGATAGATGATTAATAATATTTTTCGTCAAATTATCCCCATCAATGAATATTTCAGTGCTGTTGAGAACGAGATATAATGTGAACTCGTCTAGATTTAACATTCGATGTAGGAGCGGTACAATTAAATCCATATAATAAAAAGTACCATTATCACATGTCAAATAAAAACACCTTAAATTAGGAAGTTCCTCCTAAATAAAGACAGAACAATACTTATATTGTCATTATCATAAGCAAATATTTATTTTGATACTAACTGTCATGTCTTTGTAGATTAACTTACTTCATTATTGATCACCATAAACGAACGACGAATGAAACAAATAGTAACATAGAATGTACGAAGTTGATTGAAATGATCATTAAGTAGACAAAGACAATCTTCGAAATTTTCCAAATTAACATATAATTTTGTTAGAGTTGAAGAAAAAAAAATTTGAAGATTTTCTATCGAATGATAAGTAATGAGGATTTATATATGAAAATGAACAGAAATTTAAATAACGTAAATTCGTGAAAACAGTAAAGACATACATATATATTGTTGTTATTAAATCTTTCGTTGGTGTTTCATTTGTATTGTTAGCCACTGTAATAATTAATTTATAGATCTGATTTTTATCGATACGAGTTAAAGAAATTTCATCTAAATGTACGTATAAAATTATTAAGAAAAGATTTCATCATTTTTCTGATTGATTACCTTATAACATTCATTCTTTTTATATTTTCTATTTCATTTTCATTTAACAATTTTATAACGTGAATGTTTTTCTTCTTCGGAACTATATCAGCAATATTCGACAGATGATCGATGATTGACTATATCTCTCTACGTAATTATACTTTTTATCTTGAAAAACTATTCAAAAAAAGAAATTTGAATGAAAACATTAAAAATCGCTTGTTAAATATTTTTCAGTTATCCGAATATTTACAGTTACATTGTATTTTTTTCTTTTTTTTGTATTTCACTTTGAAAAAGCCTTTATTATTACTATATTGAAAACCAGTTTTAAAATTGAAGTGGCATTTTTTGAGTGTTTTTCGAGTAATTAAACTTGTCATATCTTTTCACTGCATCCTGATATGCTCATTCCAACAAAAAAAAAATTAAATATATAGAATGAGCCTCAACAGAGAATTTTGGGAGCTCAGATGAGCTATTTTTTAACCCATGTTTTGGGTAAATTTCACCCAAACATCATGGTGTAGGGCTGAAAATTTTACCACAACATCTCCACTACAGCCCGAACATATACTACAAATTTCATGCAGACTTCAATGTCTCTGAACTGAGATCGGATTTTGAGGGGGTCTTCAGATTTTTTGAAATTTTCATCTTGATTCAAAACTATAAAGTCACAATCAATTCCTATATTATTTTAGTTCATCAAAATGTCGAATTACACAAAAAGTCTATCAAACGAATGAAAATAATGATAAGAGGTATGCAAACTGAAAACTCAGGATAGAAAGCTAACTATACGAAATTATCGAAGAAGACAAATGTCGATAGATGAACTTGTAAGTTTTAGTGACATCGAAAAGATTTACTATTCAAAATAAGTATATTATATGATAATAAAAGAAGCAGGTCAAATGGTGTAATTCATCAATCATTTTCAAACAGAAAAAAGTCGATCATGCAATTAATGTATGTATAAGGAAAATAATTTCACAAATATGAAAATCAGATAAAATACAAAAATATTGCAGAAATCACATTGTTGAATATGCAAAACTATTGCAAACAGTAATTGATAATAATGGTGATATAACTACTAATAAATAACTTTTTGTTTATTATTTTTATACATGCGAAAATACAAAAATATACATGCTTTTCTAGTCTCACACTATACAATAATCACGATCAACATATTTTCATTTATATTTAGTTAAATGTAATAAATATTCATCACTCCATAATTTTTTATCATTTATTCTACTTCCATTTTCACCGACTGAATATTTTGAACGAAAATAATTATCAACTTTTTCAATAGTTTCTCGTGTCCAATCTGATAGAAAATTCCTATCAGTTAAAACACGTTGCATTGTTGAACCATATAGATCAAAATCTTTTTATTTAAATAGAAAAAATAGATTAATTGAATTTTTTTCGAATACATTACAATCCATAATCGCTTTTGATACATCAAAACCAATTGTTTGAAATAGTCCCATAAATGATCATAGACATGCTAATCTATGTGTCATTGCTCGATCAATATCTTCAGGTTCAGCAACTCTATCGTGAACTAATTGAAGAGCTGTTGTAAAAATAGCATATTGAAGACGATTAGGAACAAAGCCATCGTCTTCTTTTTTTAAGTCGATAATATATTTCATATTTATTGAACGATATCGTTCAATAGCTAGATCAACAAAATTTTTATCTGTTCATGATGCACCAACTATTTCAACAAATGGAATTATTGTTGGTGAATTTATTGGATGTCGAGGTAACATATTAATAAGGAAAATCTTTTTTGAATTGTATTTCAGTAGCTTACGCAACAATACAACGATTTCTTGTTTTCATTTGTTCAGTAAATTTTGAGGGCATAATACATAATGATGAACTTGCAATTAAAGCATTTAATGGAACGATTTCATCAAGTTATAAAAAATACTTTTATTTTCAATTCAACACCTTCCGGTACATATTCTTGAACGTGATCGTTTGTTTGTTGGAATAATTCTTTAATTATTCTATGGTATCAATCATATGAACACGTTTTAATATATAAGTTGCTGTTTAATTAAATGATAAATAAAAACGATTAAATTGTTCAAGTTGTAAACCAATTTCAATAAGAGTGAAATCGAATATAGATCGATTTGTATCGAATAAAAAAAATATCATGTCATTTCCTTAAGCAAAAACTACACTCCAATAACGACAACTAAGACTTGAAACAATCATTTGTACATCGCATATCAACATAAAAAAAGAACAAACGAACAATAAAATTTTCATACAAGAAATGACTCTATTGAAATTTATTGATAAAATTATACAAATACATATATTATATTATAAGCTATAAAACTGTGTAGTATAACTTGTCTCAGTTTCAATTTGTCCGATTGTAAATTGTAAACGATTAAGCCATTTAGTTAAAATAGCTAAAAGAATATTTTTTTTGATAAACAAAACATGTTTTTCTTTAAATATATACAATACATAAATCGTAAATCACCCTATGTTTCTGATGATGGTTGATGATTTAAACATGTTTGAAGAGGAACTTGAACATGTGCTGGTTATTAACTTTAATGTAAATATAAAACAGATATCCACATAGAAAATAAATATTGAAAATAAAAAAATTATTTTATTTAAATTATTAAGATAACATATATTAGATAATAACAATTGAATTTATTTCGTCTAAAACTTAAATTAAACTTAAGAAACGTAAATTAACTATTTCTGCAAGCTGAAAAATAAATAAGAAATAGTAATTTTATCAAAATAAAGAAAAAAAAAACAAATGACAGTAAATATAAATAAAACTTAATAAATAAATACATGTGGATTTGCATAACATCAACAAATACCTCAAAACGTTTGTTAGAAGTTTCTTTGTCCTGAAATTTATAATTGATTTTTTTTCATTATTAAATGATTTTTTTTTATTAACAAAATACAGAATAAATCTATACATATCACTTTTGAATATGATAATAAACGAAGTATATCCGATCTAATCCTCGTCCAAAAATTCATAATTTCAACAAATGATTCACGATCATATCCATAATTAACTTGTTCACAATACATTGTCCATAACTTTATTATACAAAAACCAAAAAAACGTTCGAAAAATCAAATTAATTTAATATTCATACTTGACAAAGAATAAATGAATGAAATAATAAAGACAAATGAATAACTGATGTTTTTGATTGATTAGCAAAACTAGTTGAAATATATAAAATATAATCAGTTATTAATTGACTTGCAACAACAGATATTCGATGACATATTATTCTACCTTTATTGCGTGTTATAGCTGCATGTTTTAACGAACCGATCATTAACCGTGAAAGAAATCTTATGCGATCAATACAATCAATACAATCAACAAAATGTTTTACTCTAAAAATAAAACAACAAAATATTATTTAAAAAAGTTGAAGAATAACAAATAAATGCAAACCCTTTTTTGAACAGAAGTCGATGGATTATAAAGCCATCGAAGAAAACGAACAATTGATTTTGAATCTGTGTGTCTACCTACAGTAAATTCTAAAGCAAGATATTTTGCAAGACCAAATTTCAATTGTCCACCTAATGTATCTTCTGTTATATTAGATAATTGTTGTTTTTCACTTTTTTCTTTCATTATACTCTATTTAAATAAAAATAAATTTTTTTTGTTTTAGTTCTTTCTAATTTTTATTTTTGTTATTGTAAGAATATCAGCAATAAATGCAACTGTTTTGTACAAAAATTCTATTTTTTTTATAAATAAGTAAAAACAACATCACAGCACTGGGATCAGAAACGCACACGATTATGAGGATGATATGCAAGAAAATCATCGCTAACAATTGCCGATGCCTAAATTGTACCACCAACATCAAGTAAAATTAACTAAATAGATATTAATATTGATTTAAACAAAAAAAAACAAGTAGATATTTATTTAAATCATTAAAAGATACCGATGAAGCAGAGCTTCAACAATAATATTAACAATACATACTGATAATAAAACTTTTTCTCGATCTTATTAATGTAAACTTTAAAATTCTGAAAAAAAAACAATTATCTTTTTTTGCCCGCGTAAATATTCGATTACTCAAGGAACATAATTCAATAATATGTTCGAATTAAAACGTTCCATTTTGTAAAATAAATGTTAATAATATTGAAAATCGATCAAGAACAATTCGTACATTTACTACATATTGTATGTTAAGTATATTCAACATAATACGAAGTATTGGCGTTAAATTCTAATTAATTGGTATATTAGATTTAATAGCTGCATAAACTCGTGTTAATTTTTCAAATAAAAACTTATCCATAATTGAATAGATAAATCAATTTGAATATATTTCATAAATTCTACGATATTACTAAGTAATTTTCTACAAATATCATGTGAAATACTTATATGTTTATTCATATCCTATCAAAAAATAATTTTTTTTATTTTATTTCGAAAAAAAAATCAAATTACATTAAGAAGCCATTTAAATGCAATTATTGATTTAAACTTCGGAAAATCGTTTAATGATAAAGCAATTCTATGTAATAATTAATCATCTTAAAAAAAAAAGTTTCTTCATTTAATATTTTATTTCTATAGAAAATAAATCTAGAAAATTTTCTTAAAAAAATTGATAAGATACATAATTTACAGCTAACTATTGAAATATACAACAAACAAATTTTTGGACAATACTTCGCGAATTAGCTCGGGCAACAACCATTGAATTTTCTTGCCATGTATATATATATATATATATGATATTCAACAAATCTTTCAATTGTTTCAATAATATTCATAAGTAGAGGTGTAAGCCGATGAGCTGACCGGCGGCGGCGCCATTAAAAAAAATTTTTTTTCAAAAGCTCGGCGGCGCAGATTTGAATTACTGGGGGTGCACGGCGGCGGCGGCTCGAAAGTCATTTTTTTCCTACCGCCGACGGCGGCGGCGGCTTAAAGTCCTTCGTCGTTCGGCGGCGGCGGCTGAAGGTTTAGAAAAACTACTATAGCAGTCTATGGGAAAGTTTTTGGGCAACATATTTGCTCATTTTTGACTCTTCTAAAAGTATTTTAGTCGAGTGAACAACTAGTGCTAAGGACCAGAATTTTGTGCTCTTTCCAAATATAGGGCTGAATTGGTGTACCTATTCTCGCTCGAGAGCAGTGAGGAGACCTTTCAAAAGTCTAAAAAAAACAGTTTGGACGGAAAATTTCTTCGCACATCTTCATATGCTTGCTACTGATATTCAAAACTAAATGCTGAATCTTTTGTTCACATGTCAGCTTGAACAAAGTTTGTTCTACAAAATATGACATTTGAGTTAATTTTTTTCTGACAAAATACTTACATTGTTGTTCAGTTGCATTTTCGAAAAATCAATTTTTTCATCAGAATTCGATTCTGACAGATGTAGTTCTTGCAAAAACAGTCATATTTTTATATGCGTAAAGGGTACATTTTAGTTCGCCATAACATTTTATAAAGAATTATTCGTCCTACAACATTTGCAAGTTGAACCATTTTTAGCGCTTTTCTAAAGAAACATACGAAGGTCACAAAAGCTTTTTTATTTGCCAGTGACATAACTTTTTCAGAACATTCAAAGACCTCCTCACTACTCTATGACAAGAACAGATACACAATCCCTCAGACTATATTCGGATAGAGCACGGAATTCTAGTCCTAATCTAAAGTTTTTCATTCACCTAGAACACTTAAGCCAATAAAATATGAACAAAATATTGTCGAGAAACTTTTGAATAATTGATGTGTCCAAACTGTGTTTTTAGACCTTTCAGAGATCTCCTTACTTATTCTGGAGCAACAATAGGTACACAATTTATGAGCCTATATCTGGAAAGACCACATCATTCTGGTCCTAATCACTCTTTTTTCACTCGACTAGAATACTTTTATAAGAGAAAAAAATGAACAAATACTTTGTCCAAAAATGTTTTCGTACACCGTTAAATGCTTTTTCACATTTCCTGTACCACTTATATTGCTATAAATACCAATAAGATTTTTAATTGAAAAAAGTAATATCAGCTTGATCGTTTTTCAATTTGTGAAACCAAATTTTGCAATAAACATGTTAATTATCGGCTAACTAATTCGGTTTTTTTGTACAAATAACCGAAATGATTCCAGACGAACGATGGTTTTGGTAGATTAGGTAGGTTCATCTCGATAAAAAAGTTTTTGTTTACACAATATATATTTGTCATTTCAACTGCAAGATGAACCTAAAAATGAACAAAACAAACAGAATTATTTATTTATCAATAAACAGCACCTACAAATTTCTGAAAATTGAAAAAGCAACACCAAAAATAATGATAAATAAAAATTACCAAAATCATCAATACATAGTAAAACCATCAAACTTTGAGTAGGAAATATAATTTGAATTGCTACTGAATAAAACGGAATTACTAGGATTATTAATAAGTGAAAAAAATAATACAACCATTGAGAATACAAATAAATGAAAAATAAATATAACCACCAGGATAAATAGTAGATGAAAAACCGTCACCGAGTTTCATGGGCGGGCCGGCATAGGGGCGAGAGGGGGCAATTGCCCCCCCTAAAAAAATTTCTTTGGCTGGGACTTAAGAAGAACGCCATGAAAACAAGCGTTTTTAAGCGAAAAAGTGCTTATTGCCCCCCTGAAAATTATGGTCCGGCCCGCCAATGCCGAGTTTGTTAATAAATAGAACGACGTAGCACACACAAGTCTGTTGCTTGATTTTGTTTTTGTTAATCGAAACTTATAATACTGGTCTTTACTTATATATAACTTTATAGACACTAACAAGTGAAATGATTACTTGAAACTTTTAACCCATACAAAATTAAGGAAAAAATGATTAAAAAGTTGTCGATGTTTATGAACGGTGTCGGCGGCGGAGGCTCAAAAATTTGAAAATTCTGAATGCTCTCGGCGGCGCGGCGGCTGGAACTAAAGTGTCTCAGCGGCGGCGGCTTATAAATTTTAAAAATTTCGACTGTCACGGCGGCGGCGGCTTAAAATTTTTCCCGTTAATCGGCGGCGGCGGCGGCTCAGCCGCACGGCTTACACCTCTATTCATAAGTAATGGTGCTGCGATAACTGGTTGGCAATGAACAATTATACCACATACAATAATATGTACAATAGCCAATAGATTGTTCACATTTATCGCATATCGGTATAGATATATATTGATTATGTAAATCTGTATCAGCACATCGATTGTCTAATTCATTATTTGTTGTTGTTGTTGTTGTTGTTGTTCGTTTAGTAGTTGATGATGCAACACCAAGATTTTTAAAATGACTTTATGATGATGATGTACTGTTGGGCGATTGAATAAATATTAAAAAAAAAACAATTATATTAATCTTAATGTTGATGATCAAACATTTGAATCACGTTTATATTTAGTTTTTTTATTATAATAACTTGGTTTTATTTTTCTACTAGTTGCTGTACCAGTCATACTAGCTAATATTGATGATAGTAATGATATTAATTTAGGAGTTTTTAATGAACTTTCTTCTGAAATAAAAAAAAAATAGAATTTATTAATTATTCTTCGATTTTAAATAAACATTTGATTCTCCTATCACCAGGTTTAAGCAAAATAGTTTCAAGTTGCGTGCCATTCACTTGAATAAACAACAGGTGAAAGTTCTTTCATTCCTATAAAATGTTTATTTTTATTTCTAATTTAATAAAATTAATTAATTAACTTTTACACTTTTAACATCAAGTTCAATTAATTTATCTATTGAAACCGTTGATGATAATGATGGTGTCATTACAGTTGATAGATTAAGATTAACAATAGTTCCACCGAATGTTCTTCTACTAGTAAAAAGACTTTTAAAATCCAGTATAAGATAAACCAATTGAAACAATATTTTCTTTTATTTGTCGAATTGTTAATGGTTAATCAAAATATTATTTATATTATCTATTTTAAATTAATTAAAAATAAAAATAGTTTAATAATTTTTTTTTAGTTAGTGATAATTATCTAAAACGTTTATGTGGAACAATAGTCGCTGATTTAGATTGTAATCATTCTTAGATAAAATTTATTTTTCAATAAATTTATAAAATTAAAATCTAACCTCTTATGGATTCAGCTACTTTCGGTCTAATTCTTCCACTAAGATCGCGAACAGTTACACTAAATAGTGGTGTTTAACATTTATGATAATTACTAAGAATCTTATTCATTGCAATACGAGTTAAATACTGGATTGTTCTACTAAATGTTGTATATTGATACAAAAATTTTTTTTTTTCAAAATAAAAATATTTCATTTCTATAAGAAAAATTAATATATTATTTTATATAGAATAATAATAAGAGTCATTAAACATGAATCACATTAACTAGAATAAATACGTTGAAGAGTATTTGATGTAGAAACATATTCATAAAATAGCATCGATATATTTTAATATGTTGAATATTGAAGAAATTAAAGAAAAAATGGTAAAATAACAAACAGTTTCAAGACTAAATTATAATCAATAACTTTTGGAAACATTCGATAAAAATGCATGAAAAACTAGAGTTCGTCTAAAAAGAAACAATAAAAGATACACTTTTTTATATAAATAAATAAAAAACAAACCGAATTTTGGTTGATAAATAAGTAAATATTCGATTGGTTTGATTATAACTAAGTAAGGAATAAAGATGCTCAATAGCAACATTCTTTAAAGAAAAAAATCAATAAATCATTAAAAAAATCTTTTTTTTCACTTGTTGTTTAAGGATAATTCAATCTTCATTAACTTGATTTTGATTATCTTTCATCATAAACTAAACAAAACAAAAAAACGAATTTGTTTTTTCTTTATTTAAAATATATCCTTTCATTAGTATAAATAGTATCAGATTAAATACCACTTTTAATAGAATTAGTTTCAAGCTTTTTCTTAACAATATTTAATTGTCGAAGATTAACTGTTGTTGTCGTTCGTCGTTGTTGTTAAGAAAGATGTAATGATGATGATATTGATCTAGTTGAATCTGTTCTTGTAATAGATAAACTTATTTGATTTAATTTTCGAATAAAATTTTCATTTTCACTATTAAAACCATTAATACATTGTGAACTTATGGATTCAACTGATTCTTCGATAATTATTTTAGATTCAATTGATAATCTATCAAAATAATTAAGAAAAAAATAGCCAAATAAATATTTTTCTTATTGAATAATTACATAATAATATTCTATAAAGTTTTGATAAATGATGTAAGATTATTGAATGATCATTTATTAGAGTATTAATTTGAAATAAAAGTACACATATAATACTTTTAAATGATGTATTATTTAATTTTTCTAATGAAGACACATCTTTTTAACTAACAGTTAGTTCGACATCTTCGATTAATGTTATTAAATAAAGAAAAGTATAAACAAGTACAAAAAGAACATTAGAATTTTTTTCAATTAAATTTGTTTTAAGAAGTATACTATTTTCAATGATACGTGTACCTAAAACAAAAAGAAAAATATTTATTTAATTATCTTTATTCTTAAAAAATTTGATTTTTCAAATTTACCAGCTGATGAACGAACTTTCAAATGTGTACTTGAAAAATCTCATTCAAGTATATTTCATAAGACAGCTTTTTCAGCTTCATAATTACGTGCATGAAGAAGTAATGATACACAACATTGATTTAAATGAATATGTTCTAATCCAAGAATTTTTCAAATACTAAATTGAAAAAATTTTCTTTTTTAATAAAAAAAAACAAATAAATTAATTTACTGTGAAACGAGTCATTTTTCAAGAGAATACGAAAGAAAACTTTGATTATCTTTTGATGTTGTTTCCAAAACATTGATCATTTAAAATTAATTATTTATCAAAAAAAAACATAATAAATACTAAAGTGGAATTATATCAATAACTTGATATAATTCCTAACAAAAATTTTTTTATTAAATATTAATTTGAAAATTTTATTTTTTACTTTAAGAACAGAATGGAAAAAATTGTAAATGATAAATATTAAGTGTATTAAATTTAAGAATAGAAAACATCCTGTGATATTATCGATATTTCACTATTAGAATTATTTTCAATTTTAAGTTCAAGTGTTATTGTTGCTGCAATCGGAACTGTCGCATTAACATTAGTCGGAACTTTTTCTTCATTATTTAATGATATAGATGATAATGAACTTAGATTATCAACATTTGATAATATTCTAATAGCTAGAAAGAAAAAAAATTATTTCTCATATATAAACAATTGAGAGAGAAAGATAAAGATCCCATGTGATAAATAGAGCCTAGGTTTGACCCGATGGGCTCTAGCGATAAGAAGCGAGGAAAAGTTGACTTCGTACTACATTTTGCTTTGCTTGATGATGTAGCTCATGAAATGAATGTTTGTTGTTTTTGCTTAAGCTCATTAATATTTGTTAACTCAAGTTCAGATAATAGCATTGACTCGATGATGTAGGACAACGATGATGACGTGTCCATGGTAATATTAATTGTTTATTCATTAAAGATAAGAATTGTTTTGATAATTAATTATACATTTCTTGATGTTGTGATGCTTGTTGAAGTTCCATCTAATCAAAAACAAAAATAATAAATTAAATGAAAAATAAAAAATAAAAACTTTACTTGTTTAAGAGTCATATCAATCATCATAATACAACATGTTTAATTCGTTTTACTTTCATTAATAGTATAAATTCTTCTTCATTGTCTTTTATAATTTAAAACATTTCTTGTCGAGTTATTTGTTATAACATTAACTAATGACGACATGTTTTATATGTATGAAAAACAAGAAATTTATTTGTTGATGTTGATGATAAAGCTGTTGTTAAACCAGCAATACTACTTGAAGGATTTTGAACATTTCCATCATCTTGTGATAACATCATTAAATTAAAACCAAAATCAATTGATTGTTCATTTGATGATGAACCAGTCATTGTATGACGTTCACGACTTTGAATACATGATTCAAATTTTTGTAAAGAATTTATAACAGTTATAATGTGTGACCCATAATGAATAGCCACATTTTGCATGGCATACTTTAATTTCTAAATACGTCTTATTAAAAAAAACAAAATATACAAGCACAAGATGCAGCGTCAAACGCTCTACAATTTACAAAGAACAGTTTATTTTAATTGTGTACTTTTTATTTTCAAAACAGTGCGAACAATTTGCGCAACGGCGAAAATTGATCTCACGGAAGTTTTCTTTTTTTTTAAAACAAAAAGTACACAATCGAAATAAACTTTACTTTGTAGATTGTAGAGCTTTTCACGCTGCATCTTGTGCTTGTATATTCTGTTTTTTTTTTTAATAAGACGTATTTAGAAATTAAAATATGCAATGCAAAGTGCGACCATCCATTATGGGTCACCCGTTAAATATTTGGGCAAGTAACGGAATTGAAATATATATATATCAATTAAACATAAGATTTGTAACCATTGTAAAGCTTGTTCTTGTATATTTTCAGATGCAGAAGATTGAGAACGATCGGTTATTAAATGATATAATTGATAACGAGTTAATTATGATAGAAACACCTAGATCTGGATCAAATATTTCCTATTTAAAAAAAAAATATTTTAAAATTTAAAAGAAAAATAAATAAATTATTGAAAGAGTAAATTTCAATCAAATTAATCATTTTCTGGTACTTCTAATCGAATTGATTCCATTGAATAAGACATTATATTGTCCCAAATCTATCGCAGACAAGAATAATACATTCAGTTTTTTAAAAATATAAAACCTACTTCATATGTAATTATTCCATCAGGTATGAAATCATATAATTTATTAAGACATTCAATAACTTGTGTTGTATGATTAGTCATTGTTTCCTAAAAATAATATATTTAATAAATTTTTTTTAATAAGATTTCTCTTACCAAAGGCCACCAACTTTTGCATATTCAACTGTATAGTGGAAGAAATAAATACAATAAATTCTTTGTTTTTTTTTTTTATTTCAAATTTTTATTTGCCTAAAACACTTGCAATTTCATAGCTTAGTAAACGAACAGTCAACTGAAACTAAAGAAATAACATACTTAAAAGACATTCAAATATTTTCTGAATTAAATCCGAAAATTTTTTTTTTCTATAAAAATAAAATATTTTTCATACCGGTGGTTCATGTGAGGTTGGTTCAATAAGAGCCAAAGTGAAATATATTTCATATCGACTTAATAGTTTTCTTCCAACATTAATATCCAACACTTAAAACATATTTAATGTATTATCAATATTTTCAACTTAAATAGATTCTTTTTTCATTACTTATTGAATCCACAATATGTTTTTCTTTAGTATTATCTGTTTAATGTAAAGACTGATTATAGCTTCAACACAATGATTTTGTACATCAGATGATAAAGACCACATAATGCTTCTTGATAAATATGATTTGAATCAATATGTCGTCTTTCATGACATAGACTACATCAACGTCAACTTATTGGATAATTACTATTTGATAAACAACATAAATTAATTCTTTTTTTTTGAAATATATAACTAAATACAAAAATTTCTTATTTATTTTGACAATGTAAATCAATTTCTGATACAGGACAAAGAACCTTACGACAATATTTTTGAATTTCTTTGGAAGAATTTTTATAACAATCTGTACACATATTAACTGGTCGTGGAGTATCACAACCATGTATTGATAAAATAATATTAGCATATACTTGTGATGCTATATTTCGTCGTTCTAAGCATCTTTCGGTTTGACATATTATTATTTTCGAGCTAAATTTAATCATTATTTTATTTTATTTTATAGAAAATCATTAAGAATTCTTTACGAGTAAATTTAAAATGTATTGGACATCGATCAATTCTAGTCGAATTAAACATAGACTAATAAAAAAAAAGTAGATTCGATGCAACAGCTCGAGCTGATGCAAATCCATGTACAATAACAACAAGATTATCCTAAATAAATAATTTTTTTAAGAGAATTTTATATTTGAAATAGAACCTACCGGATTTGATGATGAATGTAACTGATCGACATTGAATAAATATATTTCCTAAAATAAATGAATATGAATCTCTTCAAGTGAACATTTGTCTAATTTATTTTTTTTTTAATTTAATTTAGGATTTATTTCATTTGATATTCTTTTATATTGGTAATCGAAATAAATTAATATATATTAAGTTCCATCAAATATATCAATGAATATTTTTGTATATTTTTCAAATGTATTTCATGATATATTAAATGCATTTTGAACTTGATCAAATTTTGATCGAATTCAATCAAACAAATTGGTCATATCTTCCTATTTATCTAATTTATCAAAAAAAAAGAACAATTCTAAATCATTAGCACTTTTTAATAAATGTGATATCTTTATTTCATTATTATCATTTGTTGTTATATGAAGATATCGTCTACATGATACAATATACTGATACAGCTGACCAATCTAATTGATCTCCTTCTAACGCATAATGTTTAAGAATATGTTCATATGAGCATCATGCATCTAAGTTTGTTTCCATATCCGTATTAAATCAAGCGATAGTTTTGAATGTAACATTTCAACTGATTCATCATCATTATTTGACATTTTGCTTTCTTTTTTTTTTCTAAAATAATAGAAAACAATGATTGACATTGATTTAAATCAAAAAAACTTAGATTAATAGATCAAATAAATGTTTCTATCGGTTCGTTTCTAATGATCTTCTTAAAACCAAATCGATTTTTTATCTTTCACACAAATTTTCTTTTTGAATTTTTTCGAAATTAAAAAAAAATATTTTAATGAAAATATTAAATATATATTCCAATATAAATATATTAGATTTGATTTCAATCGATGACTAATGACATCGTTTAAATATTATTTTATATAGGATGAACATATTTTTAAATCATTATATATAATTGTTATTTATTTATTATTTTAATAAATGATTCTTACTTTTCAAAAAACTATTCTTTTTTGTTTATTTATCACAAAATCGAAATAGAATATTTTCAGATATTTATTTTACTATTGTCAACGAAAAGCGTGACAATTACTTTAATATTCTATAAAAATTGCTAAGTATTTATAGGTATATTCCCGTTTCATCGACACTTCCTTAATTAGTCCATTTCATCGACAAATTTTTTAATGAACAGTTTTCGAATATTAATGAAAGAATATTCTGTTGGAGAAAGATATTGAGTAGAGCATGGTGACACTATTCAACAATTTAAAAAATAAGTGTTATCATCAACATAAAGGGTGTATAAACGCTTTCTATTAGTAAACATGATTGTTCTTCACATATGAGATTAGTCTTGTATAATATACTAAAAGAAACTTAATGTCTTTGTTTCCATTGATTTCTTTGTTTTTTTCTGTTTCTTTTTTTTCTACAAAAATATATAAATGCATGTGCTGTGAATATAACATATGCACTCAAATCAAGATATTTTTGATTACTGAAACTACTAAAGGTAGAAAATGTTTATTGTTTGATATAGGACCTATTTATGTTCTCATCATTTCTTGTTTGTCTTCTTCTTAATTTCTGTAATCAAATTATTTGTGTGTAAATAAATACTATTGAATAGAAAGTTTCGATGAAGTGAGAAAAATAGCCAATTAGTCTTATTTTTTCGATGAAGTGGGACGAAACTGTATTTATATGATATAAGATAACATTGAGATTAATAATTCAAATCTAAAATTAACAAAACTCTTTAAAAGAGAAAAAAAAACATCCTTTTATTAGAATAATTTTGACAGAAGTTTTCAAATAGATAGTTACAAATCATCGAAAAATATTAACTAAAACAATTGATTTTAGACTCTTGATTTATGTTATATTGATCATGACTGATAAAGAGTGATCCATTTAACTATTTAAATTAAAGTTAGAAAGACTTCTCACAATATCATTATTATAACTAATGCTGATTATTTAATAAATAAACAAAGTGAAATCTTGTCTCCAGAATATAAATCTATTGATAGAGTTAACAATTATCTTTAAATATAATCAAATAAATTTTCTTTATTCAAATTACTATGTGCATGTTTTTTCAATTCAAGGAATAAAAACTAAAATAGCCATTTTATTTTTATCATTTCAATTATCTGTTCAACAATATATCATTTGAAATTTCTTTTTAGCCATTACTTTATAAATTTCTATAAGATCTAATAACAACATCTAAAAGATTGTCAAAAAAATTCAAACATATATCTACAAGAAATAAATCATTTTATTGAAAATCATGAATGTATTTATTTATTCATTTATTTCTATAAAAATGCAGTTTTCAATGAAAACTTTTCTTAAATTCTTTTTGTTATTTAGTATTCGTTAGAGTTTTTGATGATTGAGAATTCGTGCTTCGCACCGTATTTCGTATTCGAGTCGAAACTCGAATACCATCTAGTTTTCTTCAGGTTTTATTTTTGTATGATCAACCAAGCATTAACACTATTCAAATATTTTTTTGTGTTTAGTTCAGAAAAAATAAATAATAGCGGTTAGTGATATGTCAAGTTTTTTTATTTTATGCGTCATAGATCGTTTTTCCTTTTGGCATAAAATTTCATTTCAAATACTTTGTTGATATATGTTCGAATTTCTTTTTGCGAGTAGAGATATTTTTGTTTATTCTATAAAAATCGTGAGAAAGAGAAAACAAGAGAAGACAAATATTCATTCAAGTGACTGAATATCAATTGCATATTTATATTTACTTTAAATAAAATCGATTGAATTTGATCGAATATTAGATAAGCAAAGTTAGTAAGGCTAGATGCAATCCTTCAATCTGAAAAATTCTTCGTTTTCGGCTCATCAATTCACAAATCGGTTTTG